TCACTTCAGCCACCAATTAAACATCAGAAAGTTGACTGGCATGTTTTAAAAATATCATTCTGCTGTAAATGCAGGCCAGTGTGCTTCATTTTTGCCACTATCACATTTGACAGTATTTCAAATACTATTCTCTTTGAGTAATGGAAGTGTGAGTCATTAGTTTGGTCTTTTTAATAATCTGTTTTGAATTTGCATACTTGCTCTGTCTCTTGGATATGTTCAGAAGGCACTGACCAGAATGATAATGATACAGACGCATTATTTATTAAAAGAACAGTATCAATCCTGTCACATGCTGCAAAGATCTGAAAAGAAGGGTAGCATAAAGTGAGGCATTTTTTGTTAATATAAGAATCCAGTAACAGCAAGTTTCTTGTCCTCCATAATTACTATATTCAAAACGGTTGGTCAAATCATTGAGGCTCATTTTTAAGGTGAAGTAGCCAGAAAGTAGTTCTTGACTAATTTCAGAAGACAGCTGTTTGGACCTTTTTTTTGGCTAAAATAAATACTATTCTTAATGTTTTGCCTTTAGTTCTATAAAAAGCACATGTTGCTGGCTACAGCTATTTGATACTGAAAAAAAAAAGATAAAATGGCTGCATAATATACTTAAATAACCTTTCCTTGTGGGTTGTCTGAAGGATAATAATGAAATGTCCTATTAGGTTTCAGTAGATGGGTCATCTCCCTGAAAATACAATAAAGATGTTTTCAGCACGTGTATTTAGAGAGCTAAATCTTTATAAATGTGCTTTCATTGGTGTGTTCTTACCTCTTGACCAGTTTCTGGTCATCTGTCCTATCCAGTCTTAATTCTGTTGCAACCACCCATTTAATTCTGTATGAAAGAAATCTGCATCTACAGGTATAAGAACACTGTGTGAAGATATGCAATCGTTTTCATCAGTGCATAAAAGAGTTCATCCACAGTAAAAGTTAGAACAAAAGCTCAGCTGCTCGCTACGTTTCCTGAAAATGTAAGAAACTTGCCAAGAAATTCATTTTCCTTCTTTGTATTCTGTTGAACATTTTTAATGATCATTTATGGCGGAAAGGGAGTCACTGTATCTGTGCTCCTTTTCCATAAGGCACGTGTAAATATGCAAATGCTTTATACCAGTACCTGTTTGTAAAAGTGGCTTCTCTGCGTAAGACCTCTGGGCTGTTCCTGCAACATGTACCATTACTGGTTGCAAAACCTACACCTTCATGGGTAAGACTTGCAAGAGGAGGGGGTGGTTCAACACTGTAGGCAAGTCTATGAGGAGATGTTATAAACGTGCAGTCAGCCTTTTTTGTCCTGCTATAGCAGAGGGGGAGCCCAGCATCTTGTGTCAGGAGGGAGCCTTCTTCAGTTACGGCATTAACAAGTAGGAGGAAGGAGTGCACTGAAGGGGTGTGTGGGGGCAGATGGAAGAGGGGAAGAAGAAATATGCCCTTTTCCTCAAATTCTCTATTCCTTAGACTTCGCTTTCATTTTTCTCACTTTCTCCCTTACTTTTTTCTCATGTCTCTTCCCCTTGCTTAGTCTCCTTTCATCTCCTCTTTCCAGAGCT